AATTCTTAAAGATTTTGTGTGAAAACGCATTGTCTGGGCCCCATCACACCAGGGCACGCTGAAGAGGGACGGCTCCGACCGCCTAGATGTCACCTTTGGCCCTGCCACCTTTGCCCTTTGCCCCAGCGTTGCCATGGCGACACTGTGGCCTAGCGGGGGGATGTAGGCCTTGGGGAAAAATTGGGGTCCCCCTGCCCTGGGGCGCCTCAGCAGCAGAGCCCTGGAGGAGCCACTGCCCCTGGGAAACAACCCGTGTCGAAAGACTGATGTCAAATGAAGCCAGAAATTTTATTTAAGCTTTCACTCAGTGCTGGTGTCAAAACCCACCCGCATCTGGGCAACCCAACCTCGGCCAGTGCTTTCCCTGTTTATAAAAGCTTTTACAAACCTATTTTTTTAAGCTATATATGTATAAAATAACACATAAATGTTATTTAAATCACATTTAAACATGGGATTGCCCTGGGATTGCCCAGGCCCCCACAGGCAGGCAGCTAGCTAGCAGGAGGTTTTACAGCAGAAGAAAATGAAAGCTCACAGTTAAAGGAGGGAAAAAAAAATGGCATGGGGAAGGTTTTAGGGTCAGGTTGACACAAGGAACCTGGATTTCAGTTTATGGTGGTTTTTCGTCACAGCGTGACGAGCAGAGGGCGCCGGGAGCTCAGAAATGCAGGTGAACGACTCCGGCCTGGGACGGGCAAGGCCTGCGCAGAGCTGGCATCAAGGGTCTGTCCTTCCTCGAAATACCCCAGGCATGGAAGGCGAAGGAAGGCAGAGAGAAGTGCAAAAGTAAATGAATAGTTCTGCCTTCTCTGGGCAGTGGAATTCAAGGGTTTTGAGGTCTCCTCTGACTCTCTCTGGCTGTATTTAGGGCCCTCAAATTCCTGTCCTGTTTGCTATAGGCATGGGAAACAGCGTGATCCCTTCCTCTTTCCAGCACCTTTCATACCCTGATGAATCTCCCTGTCTCCTCCATTGTCCCACATCCCTGCATCCTACCTCTGAGTGGTCCCACTTTGATTAAGCCAAATGAATTTTTGCCCTGTTCCTCAAGAGCCAAGTGTTGAAATTTGACTGAATCATCAGCCTTTTATCTCATTTACGCTAATTACAAGAACAGCTAATGATGCCTCATATAAATGCTCTTGGTCACCTCGCTGGTTGTATGGAAATGCTCCATTTCAGTTATTTTTCCACAAATGCTGTCCCACAGCAGAACACTACCCAGTAAAACACGAGGCAAAATATTTTCTTGCTGCACAAAATGCAACTATGGGCAGGAAACCTGTAGTCACTGTGGGCTGTACCACTGTAGTCAAGCTTCTTCGGAAACAAAACTCACACCTGCCTTTTGGGCACAGCTCCTTCCAAAGAGCAGAGATCTGTTGCAACAAGATGCTGCAGTTGGGATTTCTCTCCTCTGAGAGGTCTGACAGCCCGCAGTAATCAGCCCTTCAGAGCTGATGGAGAGAGACACGAGTTTTCACCTCCCAGCGTAGGCATTAATTTAGGTCAGGTGAATTGCTCTCTGGAGGCGCTTCTTTTTCCCATTGATTCTAGAGAACACTTAGTACATCATGTTGCTCTCCAGAGCTACGGAGAATGCCCTCTGAGCAGGTGCCTTGCTTACAACGCTTGCTTGCCCCCACTTACTTGGTTTTTAATCCTGTGGCCACTTAAACCAAGCCTAAGAGAGAACAGGATCCTCACTCAAGGAGCCCTTTGGCCCTCAGTTCTCAAATACTTCTCATGCACGATGCCTGTGCTGGAGCCACGTCCATTTTATCACTTTGTGTAGGATGTGTTCCTTAGTCATAACCAGAGAAGGGACAGCCTGGTCTCCATTAAAACTTTGGGCCATGCCACAGTCTTATGTTTTCTGTTTTAAGGGGATGAAGCACCAGCTGTGCAAACCACACCTTCCTTCGGCTGTATTTCAGTGAGGAGACCTCACAACAGCAATAACAGTTTTGCAACAATTTATTAGCAATGTTCAGAGAAAATACAAAATCTTATTTACAATGAAATCATGAGAATGGCTGGACAAAGGGAGCAGGGGGATTCAGAGCCAGGGTCCAGATGATGCAGACCTCAGATAAAGAACATCCGCGTGGAGGAAGAGAAGCAGCCCCGCACCTGCACAGACAGCCAGGGAACCCAGGAGGAACATGCCTGTAGCAATATTGCACCCCTAATCCTGTGTAACTCAGGCTCATGAGGACTTCCACCTCTCTGAGCATGTACATATTATTCACTGCTTCAGTCCAAGTGCTTTCGGTAGTTCTGGCTTGGATGGACTGCAAGCCATGGGGTCAGCACAGAAGAGGGACCAGGACACATGCAAGAAGGGAGCCCTTGGAGAGGCATGGGAGGGCAGCAAGCCATCCCCACTAGAGTGGCCTGGAGATGGAGCAGGTGCCATGCAAGCTTTTCCCACACAGGAGCAGAAAGCCAAGACGTAGCAGCTCAGGCAGCGGCAAAGTTACTCCACACCAGAAGGAAAAAGAGCAAGAGATCCAGAGTGGGCTGCAGATCCATATTCTCCTCCCCAGGTCCCAGGGTATGCAAGGCCAGTTTGGAGGAGGACTCCCAGTGCAGAAAGGAGGCATGCAGAGCTCAGGTCTAGGTTGTCCTCCAGAGGAGAAGTTTTAGGACTATTTCAGAGTCAGAACTCATCACGTAACTCCATACTCCCCCCCTTCAAAAGCTGGAAAGCCAAAATACCTACAGAAGACCTCTTGCTGTGAGCAAAAAAAGGCTGCACAGTCAGTCTGCTAAGATATTTCAGAAGTGCCTGCATGGGTCCGAGCCAGAAAATTCCTTCTTTAAACTCTTATTTCATAAATTTTTAGGGCGCCTGCCATGCCATCACCTCTCCCAGTTCTGCCTGCTCAGCAATTCAAGGTCCTTGTTCCTTCTCTGCAATGCACTGCAGAAATCAGTGGGTCACGAACTTAATGCCATCATCACCTAATAGTCTCCTTTATCCCTAAAAATATTTTGGCTTCGGTGTGGTTTTTGAGGGGTTGGACTGGGGGGGGGGAAGCAGGCACGCAAGGTTTGTTTGGAGGGGTGTTGGGGAGGAAGGTAAAGTGGAAGACATCAGTTGTGCTCCTGTGTGCTCATGGACAAGGTCAATGTGGCCACAGAGAGGCTGAAGCATTTTTAACTCTCTGCACAGTAACTTTCCTCTGCCCAGCTTGGGGAATTGAACACGTGTGGCAGGAGGATACAACATGTGAAGGGTAAAAGCTAGGGCAGCAGCAGCAGAATGTGAGGTACGGAGCATTTTGGTATAGCCTCTCTCTAACATGCAGGGATTGCTAGAGGCAGCTCAATGACGCACTTGCCCTGGCATTCCCAGGGAGATTGAAGATACGGGGTTCTATCAGCAGGAAGGATCACTTTTTAAATAAGAGCAAAAGGCCTCTTATCTCCACCTGGAGCTTTACAGTTAGAAATTAGCCAGCTAATCCCCAAACAGGGGAATGTGAGCAAGGGGAAGATGGAAAATTACCTGAGCACTCAGAGGCATCCAGTGCTCTCACTGACATCCCCATTTTGGGAGAGCAAAACTGGAAAATGGCCAGAGCAAGAGGCGACATTGGCACTTGCTACAAAGCAGAGCCCATTTTGAGCGACAGGCATTCACCCTGGCCTCAGTCTCTGAGTAGTAACCACTTAGGACCATTAATCTCAAGCAACCAAGACAATTTTGGGAATGCATCAGATTCTTGTGATGAGTCACAGGATCTCAGCCACCCATTTCCCACATCAGCAGGCTGGGCTCTGAAACTCAGCCTCTTTCATCTTTTCTCTGCCATTCTCTGCCAATAATCCTTACATGGGAACACAACCCTCCCAGGTGAAGAGCCACACTTCTTTCTGAAGTGACATAAGTGTGCCCCTTGGGTGGGGAGGTAAGCCCACAGCCAGTGGTTCTGCTATCCCACTCTGAGAAGGAAAGCAAGTACATACTCAACCCAGATGCAAAGGATACAGAAGAATTCCTCTTGCAGGGACATTAGGGATGTCCTCAAAGAGGCTGCACATCCTGAACAAGTTCTCTTGTGCCTGGAGGACTGATTGCTGGGATATCCAGACTACCTGATTCCATGCTCTGCCTTTCTAAAAGCAGGCACTATCTAGAATACCTCTCTAAAGAGGCCACAACGCAGGAGAGAAACAAGGGGACGCAAGGATTTCCCTAGCCATTTCCCTTTGTTCAGCTGGTTTTCCTGCCAGTATCCTAGCAAAATTCCCTACTCTCCTCCCCTTAATGTTATTTTCCCTTTGCAGAGCTGTTCTCAGCACTTCAACAGCCCATGATGGGCAGGACTCAGACAGGCAACTCTGACAGCCTCTGGGGAAAAGATCTTGGTCTCATGCCTCCCAGTCTGTGGTCTGGTTTGATCTCAGGAGGAGTGGAGGGAGCAGAAGAGACATAACACTTAAGCCCGGCTTTGCTTTCTGGGTCACAAAGGCCTAACAGCATATATACAAGCTGCATAAGGAACCCAGGGGCTTTGCTCAGCTGGTTGAATGGAGCCTGCTAGTGGACCAGAAAGGGTGGGTTTGTTTTTCTTTTTAAAACTCTAAAAAAAAATTTTTTTTTTTTTTAAACACTTGCATCTTGCCAGCAAAGAGAAGATACTGCCTTGCTGCAGCATTTACTCCTCGCTGGAACCAAGGAACTGGAGGAAGAAGGAGAAGATATAGATGATGTCCAGATAGATATTGAGGGCTCCGAAGATGTATTCCTCTGGGCTCAGCGAGTACCGATGATTCCCCATCAGCATCTGGGTATCAAATGCCAGGAACTGTGAGGAAAGAGGAAGAAACCCAATGACAGTCACATGGAGATTTGGCACAGGGAGGCAAGAAATGCTCTCATGACAGGAGTTCTCCCAGTTGCTTCACTTCACCCAGAACAAAAATGCAGCCGCTTTTTATGGGCTGTAACTGCAATTTAAAAGCTCAGAGCAATGCACTGAACAAGCTGCAGATTTCCCCTTCGTTCATATCACTCTTGATAGACTAACCCTAAGCCTCAATATTACTCCAGGCCTGCTTTGTTCATGCTTCATCCATCCCAAATGTGTTCCAGGATCAGCTCTGGAGCAGTTCTCCCGGTTCCTCCTCAGCCAGTCCCTATGACTTGTTATTCCCAGACTTCCCGCAGTTCAGAAACACCTACCAGGTAACAAGGTGACCTGGACCCAACAGGACATTGCAGCAGCACCACCACCAGAACAATAAAGAGCATGAAAACGCAGACCCCAGGCAGTACCGAGGTCGGCAGAGCTGCCAGCAGAAGTAGCCAGACCCAGAGGGGAGCTAACACCTTTCTGAAGTACAAATACGACTGAGCGCAGGGCAGATTTTACCAGTGAAACCATCACAGCAGCATCCACCGCCCAGCCTGCCTGCAGGAACACAGCACTCACAGGAGCAAACATGAGCTACAAGGCAGGCTGGTAGCTGCAAGAAAACCTGCGCCTTGCTGAATGACTTCAAGCCCATTATCTTTTCTTCCATCTCACCTTTACTCCCTCTGTTAACCTAGCCCATGACAGACACCTTGGCATGGAGCTCTTCAGGGTTGACAGGGCATCTTTGCCATCGCCCGGGGTCAAGCTGACACCTCTGCCCTCCCCAGTCATAAATAACAACTGATCTCCCCAGACATTGTCAGACTAAGCTGAGGCTCTGACTGAAGTTTATTGGGTAATTATGTTTAGCCTACTTGTGTTTTACAGAACAGTCTTTAATCGTGAATCACAGAAGAAATATCCAAGCTCACTTGAAATTACTTTTATAGCTAATAAATGAAATTGCTCAACTGTTCTTATTCACAAGGTGCCCAATGGGCACCGCCTTGAACCCCAAGGCAGCCCTCCTCTTGTCCCCCACCTCGAGGTAGTGCCAAGCATCTTCCCAGACAACTCCCACAGCCGAATGGCAAGCACGGCACTGCTGGGACTTGCTCTAGGAAGAGGCTTGTAGGAGGGACTGCCAGAGAGCAATCGAAGGAATGAATTAAGCCTTTTCAGCTTTCCTTGGAGGAGCTGCCCAGCTTCAGGGCTTTTCCTGTCTGCAACGAACCTTCCTAATGCCCCTTAATCCCAAACCATGGCCTCTCACTGACTTTCTGTACCTCTGTTTCTGTTAGTCAAACTCATACCCAGTCCTTGGCTCACTCTCCCTCAGCCAGCCCAGACTTGACTTTGCTCACTTCTGCAGCCTCATTTCATCCCCAGGCTCCCTTCGAGCCCTGCAGTCCAGCTCCCACTCCCGTGCTGAAGCTTAAGTCTCCGCTTTTCCAACTCCAGAGACGCTTTTTTTGCCCTGTCCCTACAATGCTTTCTGCCGTTCACACCTAGTATTGCACATACAGCATGGATTTGCCAGTCACAGCGTGCCCTGCGCCGGCACTGTCACGTACACCGACACCTTCTCGGGACAAGGCTGAGGTCACTGCAATAATTGCTATTCATGAGCCATTTGAGGATGTGGAGCTTTCTGCAATCCTGCGACTCACTCTTCTCCCTTCCCCAAGCACCCTTGAAGGCTAAAAGCATTTACTCCTTGCTTATTTTTCCTGCCAGCACATTCCCAGGCCCCACGACCAGCACCCACTTACCATAGTAAAGGCAATGGCACCGAGCAGAGCGTAGATCGCGTGGAGCCAAGGGACCTAAAGGAAACAAATCCATCAGTCAGTGCCTGAGAGAAAGCAGGCGAATTAGGACTTGACACAGAAGACGGCTTAGCTCTCATCTGGAGGATATGAGTTAGGGAAAGTGCTCTAATAACCCAGGATGGACTTGCACCACTTCCAGCTCCAACACAGTTTCTGTTGTGGACTTTTCATGGCAAAGACCAGGTCACTGTGCCTCAGTTTCCCCTCTTACTGTGGCCTTTGTGTCCATTTGGCTCAAACTTCTAGATCAGGTACTTGTGTTTCCAAATAGCCAACTTTTCCACAGAGACAGCAGCTATGGTGATGTCTTAGCACTATCCTGATGGAAACACATCTTGCAGCAGCCCTAAATAGTATTTATTTACCCAGACAAGACTGATCCCACTGGAAGAAACACCAAATGCTTCCAAAGAGCCAGACCCAACTTTAACAAGCATAACTTAAATGTGTTCACACTGGAGTCACAGCAGGAAATTCACAGGAATGAAGACCAAACCTCAAGCCCTGTTTGCTGTGGCACAGTAGCACACAGCACTAATAGAAAAGTTGCCCATATTTCAGGAGAAGGTGCCCACACGGATGGGTGATTCAATCCAGAGATCAGAGCATGCCTCCCCAGATAGACAAGCTCATTACAAGGCTGCCTCAAGCTATGCTTATCTTGACAAGCTGCAAGATAAAGAGTAGTTGTCTCAACAGTTTAATGTCAGTGGCTTGGCACTGCAAGCTGGTTTACCCTCACGTTTGCGCAGAGGAGAGATGGTTCTCAAAGCAAAACAGCTAAAATCCAAGCTCCTGCTTTTGGAAACACCAGACTGTGTATTTGTCTATCATCAGACTAACTTCAGGGCTAGTACCAGTGGGAGTGTCTCCTGCAGATCTGGCCCTTAAAGTATGACTCAGGTCCCCAGAGAAGCCAGATGATATGTGAAAGGTTTGGAGGTCACTTAAAGGCTGCTGTGATCAAAGCTGGGTGCCTCCATCTTCAACATGAGCATTCAGGGTGCTGAATGGTGGCTGCACAGCCCCACACACCTTCCCTCTTTCATCAGCATCTTCCAGGGTCTGTCAGGCTCTTACTTGAATAACAACTTACCTGATGAGGCACTCTTGGATGGAGACCAGACACTCCATACCACCACACCAAACCCTTTATCAGATGTGGTCAGCAAGCTGCTCCAAGATTTCAGGTGGGCACAGCCAACACTAGCTGTGACCAGCGAGGCCAAAGGAATGGCCTGGACCCATGCAAGAGGGGCTGGCAGCAGTTGGAGGAGCAATAAGGTAGTCGCTCGTCATCAGGACTTGTCCCTGGGGTCTGAATCACCCTCCAGAAGCACTTATTTCTGAGAAATTTGAGCCTCAAGATTTAAACGCTGTAGGATGGTACCTGGTGTTGGTGTGAATACAGCCAGGTCTGGCCAGACAGGCACCCAACTGCCCTTGGCCAGAGCCAAAGTCCTGCCCTGAATTTGGGGCAAGAGCCCTGACAGGGCAGGCCGGCGCTTTAGTGTGCTCACTACCCTGGTTTTACTGGAGGGGAAACTGAGGCACAAGCAGGTGATGTGATCTGCCGTAGGGTCACTACCCAGCTCCGGGAACAGAAGCAAACTTCCTTAAGCCCCAGGCCAGTGCTGTCCTACAACCTGGTATCTGATTGTACAACCACCAGGCAACAACCACCTGGGCTTGCTTTTTCTTTCTTGTTGGTGTTTCTGCACATTTTTGGAGACACCCTGCTCAAGCCAAGCCCTGGCTTTTGCCCACTTTAGGCTGATCCACCCCCGGCCTTGCACCAGGGCTAGTGGCACTGGGCAAGGAAGGAGGAGCACATGTCATTACTCACATGTTGGTAGGGCAGTATCACAGCCAGGATGATGCCACCAAAGAAGAGCACCATGAGCAACACGAAGAGGACGCCCTGGTAGGAGGTGAAGTCAAACTGCAGAGGTAAAGAACATCATGTTACGAGTGTAGAGTCTTGAAACAGGAGGCAGTGAGGGAAGCCAAATCACAGGGACTCGTTTTGCTGTCACGTGGCGGTTGCTTTCTCTGCATCTTGGGTCCTACAGTCCAACACCCATCTATACGGCACACAGAGCCAAGCGCTTAACACATCGGCCACAGGCAAGCGCTCAGTACCCATGGCACACCTGAAATCTAAAAGCCCATCGTACACATTTATGCCAGCACCCTTTTGTACCCCACAGTCTAATCCTCCAAAAAACCCACCTTACCTCCATACATTAGCATCTTCCAGCCCCATCTACACCCCTGACATCCCTCACCCCAGCATCTGTCCTAATCTTCCTGTAACCTTCATTTTACATCCCAGCATCCCTCAGGTTGCTCCTGTATCCAGAGCCCTACAGACCTGCCCCTTCACATCTTGCCCCCAGCACTGCCTGACCCTGCATCCTACCCCGGGAGATGCCTCTCCCAGAGGGGACTGATCAGCACAAACTCACCTTGGTCTGGAAGCTGAAGATGGTGACAGACAGGCACACCAGGTTTGTGATCCCCAGACACAGAAGGACTGACTTCGTATCGTAGTAACTACAAAATCAACAGCAAAAATTGTATTTTGCTGTATATAACAGCAAAAAAAAACCCCAAACACTTCTCAGTGTTTCCCACAGGGACAGGTGGAAGGAGGGATTAAAACAGGCAGAAGCTTAGCATAGGTATGCAAGGAAAGCATGAGTCCTAGGGGCACAAATGGCACTGAAATTACCAATGCCCCCCCTTAATGTAAAAAGGGAAGGATAGAAAACATTTTAAAAAAAAGACTAAAAGGGTTTTCCTCCTGCTTTAAATAGAAGGTAGGCAGGAGGGCATGTCTATGCCTCCTGGGAACTCATGAGCAGCTAAGATGGGGACTTACTATAAAAATCTTTCTGCCCATGGACGGATGGAAAGGGAGGAGGTTTCAAACTAAGAGGTATTAAAAATAGAATGACAAGTGTCATTGCAGCACAATGAGAAATCAGAAAACTGCAGCCACTGTTATGCTACTGATAACAAGGGTTTGGATCTTGGAAAACCACGGGGAAGGAGGGATTTGAACAGGTAGAGAGACTGCAGGTCTAGGTTATAATTTTTTTTTTTGTATATCTGAGTACTGATTTGGGTTGCAGCACCAGGCTCAGCCCTAAGAAAAGCCAGTCCCCACTCTCCCCTTCGGTTTGATTTGAGAGTGATATCACTGGTATTTTCCCTGAGTTGCTGAAGCCGCTACTTTCTTTGTCTCCAGCACACATCCATCAACGCCTACTGGCTCATCTGCCTCATCACCAGGGACCCACGTGAACCAGGGCTGATCCTGTGAGCAGATTGTAACAGTAAAAGCACAAGCAAAAGGGAGCAAGCTGTAGACTACAAAAAAAAACTCTGAAAGTGCTGGAAAAAACTCCTTGTCTCACTCCAGCCCCATCTGCTAGAGTGCTGCTTCGTGATCTCACCTTTTCCACTGGGTATGGTAGTTCCCTATAGCCCATCCACGCAGGCACTGCCTTGTCCCTGGCTCTCAAGTGCTCTCCTATAGGATTCCACATAGCCAGGAACTACCCTGTGCTGCCTCAACTGTGATGGAGAAGTGGATGCCACCACAGGTCTTGAAAAGTATGTTCAAAAGGGAAGGTCAGGCTTTGTGTGGCTACTGGAACAGCTGCAGAGAGATCAAGTGGCCCATATATTTCAGAAGTAGGGAAGTTTTCTTGCAGGAAGAGACAGGACCTAGGACCAGAAGACATCCAGAGACCACATGCTCAACCTACCTGGAGAGCATCCCCGTGAGATAAGCCATGGAGAGCGTCTGGGAGGGAAAGA